GAAACAATGAAGGAATGATGAAATAAAGGAAGGATGGAAGAAAGAAGAAAAAGAAGAGGAAAGAAACAGAAATATAGCCAAAAAAGAGAAGAAAGAAAGAAAGAAAGAAGGGCAAGAAGAAACAGGAAGGAAGAAAACCAAGAAATTCAAAGGAAGAAGCAAAGAAAGGGGAATAAAGAAACAGAAAGAAATAATCAAACAAAAACAAACAGGAAGAATGGAGAAAAAAGAAACAAACTGCAAGAAAGGAGTGAGTGGTTAAATGATAGAAGTGTTGAATTCCATCAGTCCAGTGATCCATAGAGAAAGAGAGAGAGAGAAACAGCAGGCTGAGCCTCCTCTTGTTTCATTCCTCCCTTCGTGTTGGTTCATTTTGAAGGATTTTCTACTGGAACAATATAAGCTTTGTTGAAGTTAACAAACAATCACCACTAAAACACACACACACACCATTATGACAAACACACTCGCTCTGAACCTGTTGGCAGTGAAGACAAATCTAAGTTTTTGGTATTTACGTTAGGTTCTTCTGTCTGTACTTGGATGTAGAATTACAGGGAAGTCGGTAAGGCTGGATGGTTATTGCATTTTAATTTTCTTCCACAACACACACACACAAACACACACACACTCACTCCCATTGAGCTGCTCGTCCTGCAGATTTAAAGGTTGGCCGTTATGCGACTGCTGGACCAGTGCAGCGATCTGATTGGATGAGCTTCTGGAAGCAAAAGAAGATCTAATCTAGCTGTGCCTGATCTGATGAGTTGTTTGTGTGTGTGTGTGTGTGTGTGTGTGTGTGCGTGCGTGCTGGAGTGACCTGTCACTGGCACTCTGTGTTATGTCGACTGCATTAGAATGAACACTGACCCAAATCTCACAGACAAACACACATGCTCACCCACTGAAAGATCGAAAACCTTTAGCAGCTACATTATACCTCGTTTGTCTGTCTCCCGCAAAGCTGTTTTTCAGATCTTTCTGCGACTACAGTGGTCTTTTCCCTGAAGGCTCAGACCGGAGCTGTTGGCTATTGTGGCTAACTCACTCAGCGAAGCGTCTTTTCCTTCTGCTCTTTGTTTCAGTTACTCATCAGTCAGAGACTCGAGGGAAACAGCACTGGGCTCTGCCGACTGAAACATAAAATGTTGCAGTTGTCAAAAATATTTGTTTCGAAAGCCTGACTCAGCTGTGGTTGTGAACATTTGAAGTGTGTTCATTGAGGTTTGGATTCTCTCATTCTGTGAGACGTGATGGGAGAACTTCAGCTCAATCAGGGCCTGTCATGTTGATTTAACAGCTGCATGATCATACTCGAAAATATGGTACAAAAACCTGAGCCATGCAGCTGAATATTCAACGCTTGCTTTGAAACGGAACTGTTCTTCAGTCCTTGATGTTAGAGTCTTTAATATTTGGGGAAAAAGGAATGTTCATAGTATGACTATAATTTCCCAAGTCTCTTAAGCTACTGTATTGAATTATTATTATTATTAATTATAATAAAAATACAATTTCATACAGGGACTTAAGAGACTAGAATAAGAGATTTCCATAATATGACTATAATTTTCCAAATATTATTATTATTAGTAGTAGTAGTATTTGTAGTTTTTTTTATTAACAACAATGCTACAATTCCATACAATGACTTAAGAGACTAGAAGAAATGATCATCATTATTTATTTTAGCACATTCAATTTAATTTCTTGTTGCTTGTTACTGGTTTTATTTGTCTTATTCTATTATTATTTTAACTTTTAATATGTGTTTAATTAATATATATTTCTATTTTAATTTTTGTGTATTTTTATGTAATTCATTTGAATCATTTTGAGTTGCATTTTAGTTATGAAAAGTGCTAAACAAATAAAATGATTATTTATTATTACAATTATTAAAATGTACTACTAGTTGTCAGTATCTACAGAACAGGGTAACTGAAAGCCATAACATATTTTATCATTTTATATATAATTTTCATTAAATTGCATTATTTACACAAATTTACTCGAAATGACCATTTAATTAGACTATATATTTATCTTTCACTATATATTTGTAACATCATTGCAAAGCTGTGAGCTGAAAATACTGCCCCCAAAATACTGTAATAATACTGTTTTGGTTGTGTTTTTTCATTTCAGGGATTGTGTGTGTGCTTGTGTACAAGTCTAGATGTGTGTGTGTGTGTGTGTGTGTGTTTGATAAAATATGAGGCAGGCATGAGATGGCTCCATGGTGGCAAAAGAATGAGCGTACAGCTACGAACAAATGCTGATACACACACTCAAAAAAAGCACACCCACACTATATGTCAGTCAATAAGAGATGCTAACTGGGGCAACACTATTTATTGTGACAAGACTGAATATTTCATTCTTTGTCTCTCTCTCTCTCTCTCTCTCACACACACACACACACACATAAATAGAGGCAGATGGTAAATCCCCAGCCCCTTCACATTTTTCTAATGTGTGTTTACACCTTGTTTTAAATCTAAATCATGTTAATCTCCCAGCGTGGTCATTGGGGATTTGTGTGTTTGTGGTATATACTTTTAGAAATACCTGCTTTGTTCTCTGTAATGATTTTGCTCTTCTTGAAATTTAGTTCGACATGAGTCTGACTAGAAATAAAGAGTCTAATTCCATCCATAAAGCAAATTTCCTTTTTTTTTTTTTCTGCACATGGGCAGGAAACTATTAAGAACGAAATGTTCTGACCAGTTAAAATCCAGCAGTGATGTAGTGACAACAGAATGTGGCCGCAAAAATGCTTCATAGCAAATCCATCCTTGCTAACAGTACACAGGGTAGGATTACCCTGCCTGTCTGGAATGTGAGTTGTGTTTTAGCCTGGAGTGAGTGTGTGCTGGAGTCAGGATGGGGTGTGTGTGTTCGTCTGTTGAGCAGCACCGTGTGATGCTATTCCATGGTTGGCACGGTGACAGGTTGGCATGGCGCTACCGTAAGGAGGCTGGCACTCTGCCTACTGCCATACATCTCAATCTGCATGACATCATAGCAGCTCCTAGCAACCACACACATCACCCCTCCCCCATACACGCCCACAAAGGGCCATTCACAAGCACAGTGCCCTGGCCTTTCTCCATCACTGGAGTCTCTCTTTCTGAGCTCAGATTCATTCTGCCGCTATAAAGTTTCATAAAGCCAATACTTGTCAAATCAATGATAACTAGAAGAAAGAAAAGACTTTGCTCTTCAAGTGATGGTAATGTTAAAATGGAAGGGAAAACCAGCATTGTATAATTTTTGCTGGGCTCCAGACAAAAAAAAAAAAGGGAGCCAAATATTTTTAGGGAATATTTAAATATTTAAGAGCCAAATGATCTGTTTAGCTGCCAAATTGCAGAATCTGTCATACTGATGCTGTCATTGAAGTGATCCTTATTGTGTTTGCTCCATATAAATGCTAGACTGTTTCCTAAGAATAGTTCTGCCTATTTGAAAAAAAATATTGTCAAATATTGTGTTGATAATGGTTCCAATATCTATAAAACTCTGTTATGAAAAATATTGAATTAATGGTTCATTTCAAATCAGACTGAACTGGAAAATGATTAACAGTTTAGTGTGGGAGTCAGTTGCAATATCTGTAATGGCTCTGAACGATTCACTCAGAACCAGCGATTCAGATTCAGTCTGCTTACAAGCAAGTTTAAGATCTGTTATCACTTAGTCATTAAAACCAACCAGTGTATTAGTCATTCGTTTGCAGAACCAATATCACAGCTCGCTCAGATGTATGTTTTTGTACGTTTTGACTAACACAAAATGGAATTTTTGACTGATACAAACTATATTTAAAATTGCCCGAATTTTTTCATTTTTGCATTTTTGACGATTTTAGTTGCAGTCTGGGGACCTAATGCTGTTTTTAAGTATGCAAAACAAGTACTCCCAGTGCGCTACGCCTCATGTCATGCGTGTACGAAAATGCATTAGTGTGTGAAATGGGACGCACCTTTTGTCTTTGATTAGCAAGACAACAGGAAAAACTTCCAAATTAAATTTTATCTTAATTATTATCTTCTTGTGTTTGACAGTTCTAGAAAAAATGTCAAATTAAAATTTCAAATCTAGTGAGGACTCATCGTAGTCTGTGTGATGGCCATGAACGTGTGTGTTTTTGTGAATAAGTATATTTTCTTATCTTACCTGTTCTATAGTTCCTCATTAGTGCTTACACATACACACATGCATTCTTAGCACTTCTCACTCACACCTCTAAATGAGCACGAACTAATGGAAACTAATAATGTGTGTATGTGTGTGCGTGTGAACTTGTGTGGGTGTAATTGGGGGTTAAATTGAATGAAGGTGGATCACCCGCTGTGACAATATCGGTTAATTTAACTACATAATGGGAGTGTGTGTTTGTGTGTTTTATATATATATACATATATGTGTGTGCGTCTCCTATTCAGCGCAAACTCACTTTCTCACACCTATGTCTTGGCAACATGGCCCTTAGCACATTGTGGCATATTTTTAGGTATGTCTGTGTTTCCGATCACTCAAACTCACAGGGATTATTCTGCAGGAAACATTGAGGCTCCTGGGCCTACGCAAGAAAATTCATACACATGGCTTTTCTAATAGCATGGCGGTGTGTGCGTGTGTGTCTGTGCATTCCCATGGGATCAGATTACTATCATAGGGACTAGTAACAGGAGAATACACTGGAGCTTTTTTCATCTTGTCCATATTCTGAGACACACACACACACAAACGTTAGTTTGTTTTTGGATGTTTCTAAGGTAATATTAGGTTGCAATGTCTGATTTATTAAGCATGTGCTTGTGTTTTGCGTGTGTGATTTATAGAGGTAAATTAGGGTTTCCTTTTCCTGCTTTGGTTTACAGCAAGAACTCCAATCAAAAGTCTTATAAATCTAAACCTAATTCACCACGACAATCACAAAACCCCTCTCTTTCTTTCTCTCTCTCTCTCTCTCTCTCTCTCTCTCTCTCCAGCAACTTCTAATGGAACACAGGAAGGGTTGGAAAACAGAGAAGGTGGGGTTTGTAGCACGAGATCCATGAAGATCATCATGAAAGTGGGCCAAGGTGAGTTACACACACACACACACCTTCTTTATCTTCAGCATGTCCAAAGGTAAAGTAATTTAAGCCCCATTTGGTGGATGATTAAGTCAGCTGACTCATTAACTGCCACTTAGATTGCAGTTAAACATTATCCAAGTTAGCATTACTTCATATCGTTCACACACTTCTTCATTTACATTTACACAGAATACACATAGTTTCTGCCCTTAGATTTTGTACTTTGACTCATAAGCAGAAACAGGTTAGTTAGACATAAAAGGATCCTGACACCAAAATCTAAACGAATACATTCAAACATATGCTGTACCGAAATTAATTTCCTTGAATGTTTTTTGTTCTTAATTTGTTATGTATGTGATTGTATGTTACAGATCCAAATGCACCAGATCCAGATTTAACGGACCTCCCAGACCGGGACCGGGACAATGAGATCAAGGACCCCACAACCAGCCCTTCCCGCAAGATAGACCGAGACCGAAGCAGAGACGCAGATGGGAACGGATCCATAATGCCTGGCAGAGGTGAGGAAACACAAATCATCTGTGTTTACAGCAGCTGGTTCGGGATGATGATGGTGTTTTCCTATAAATGACATTGGATATTTAGAGGACAAACTGATCTGAGTTCAGCAGCGAAGATCTACCACAGTAAATTTTAAGAATGCCAGCGTATGAAATGCAGCAATGCAGAGCTACTGCCTCCCTCAGGCAGCTGCGTGTGTGCAAGAGAGAGACAGGAGTTAATGTAGCATGTCTTTATCACGTCCTTGCAGCCATTCACCTACAGGAGGTCTAAACTTCATTAGGAGAGAAAGAAAGAGAGAAACAGAGAGACAGAATCATTAAGAAAGAACAGAGCGACTTGCGCTGCATCTCTGCAGTGATCACACTGCACAGATTCTTGAGGTCAGATTCTTCTGCTCTGAGAGGACACATTAGACACTGACATTAACTGCATTACTGGCATTAACTGCTATTGCATCTTCTCAAAACCAGCTAGTCGGTGGGTTATATGAACGACTAGTCGACTAATTGGTATAATATAGGTTCGGCATCACCTGATTCCATTTGGACATTCTTTAATTATTTGGTCTGCTTAAACCCTGCCACTTTCTTACAATCGACCTCAAGCTCACATTCAGATCTGCCTCCATCCAATCAACAATTGGTGGATAAAACCAAGTTCCTGCCCTATATTTTTTCTTTTTTGATAATCTGTTTTTACTTGGATGTACACCACAATATGGAAGAGTATTTGTTGCTACTTGTATTTCATTGCGACTATTTTAACTTAAGACCAACTGTCTTAAAAACACTTGTGATGGGACACACAACACAAAAATGTGCTGCTTTAAAACAATGAATTTAAAGTTGTAACTTTTTTTTAGTGTTTTACCGTGCAAGCTCTGTCAGCATGCTAAAGCACCACCATTGAAATACATGCATCAAAAGTAAAGTTTCAAAAAAAAGTTTTGAAATATGAACTACACTACCGTTCCAAAGTTTGGGGTCAGTAATATCTCTTTTTAAATTTGTTTTCACAACTGTTTTCAACATTGATGATTGCAAGAAATGTTTCTTGAGAACCAAATCAGTATATTAGCATGATTTCTGAGGGATCATGTGACACTAAAGACTGGGTAAATGGCTGCCTTTTAAAACCTTTAAAAAAAATCTTACCGACCTCTAAACTTTTGAATGGTAGTCAACCTCACTAATCAACTATTGGATGACTTAAATTTAGTGTATGCCATTGATAAACACGGCTAGAACTTTGCATTGCTAGCATTGCTGGTAGTATTGTTCATTGCTGGACTACTGTTTGAAAGAATTATTCCAATCTGGGTGTGTGTTGTTTAGCTTCATACTGCCGTTAAATGTACTTGACAACATGGATTTTATTGTCAAGCAAAAATGTGTATTCATAATGCCTATTTAGCTGCAGGAGTCATCGGTAGCTATTTCAGCTGGCAGCGCAACAATAAATGCAGCAACAGTTTTATTTACTTTAAAAGTAGCTCAGTGCCAACGCTAACAAACTCAGAGGTTTTTTTCTATAGCCATTGTCAGTTATCTTTGCCTCAGAAAACAGAGAGCGACTCTAAACACTGATAATGAGAGCATGTGTTGCTAACCTCATTCTTACTGATAGTTCACAATGGAAAAGAAAACGAGTGTGCGTCGCTCATAATGTTGTCCTTTTTTTCCTTTCAGACACGAGAAACCAGGATAACAGTCCCGGTTCGGTGGAAGGTATTTTCGGCTCTAAACCGGCTCTCTTCGCTGCCATCGGAGCCGGCTGCGTCATCTTCCTCCTCATCATCATCATCCTCATCGTCTTGCTCCTCAAGCTTCGCAAGAGAACCCGCAAACACTTGCAGCCCAGGGGCGGAACTGCCCTGTCACTCAGCACTCTGGCCACACCCAAAGGAGCTGCCCAGGCCGGCTCAGAACCGAGTGACATCATCATCCCCCTGCGGACATCAGAGAATAACTACTGTCCGCACTATGAAAAAGTGAGCGGAGACTATGGGCACCCCGTCTACATAGTGCAGGAAATGCCACCCCAGAGCCCTGCCAATATCTACTACAAAGTCTGAGAGAACAAGGGCGAAGCAACCGCAATAAGAACTAGTTTTTGTAAGGTATCCTGAATCTTTTTTTCATTACCTAACCCCGTCTGCTCCGTGTGCGAGAGGGAGAAGTGGAAAAGAGGAATGAAAAAGACTGTCGATGATATTCCTCTCAGATTTCCTTCCCTCCGTCCCTTTTCCGAACACTACACTGTGTGTATGTGTGTGTGCCTGTCGCTCTCGATGTGTGTGAAACGGCAGAAAGCCTCTCCAAATTGCGTGGCACTCAGGCACAGACTTCACTGCTGAAGAACAGCCGACAACCAATCACAGAGGGCCACTAGAGTGACATCACAAAGCAGGAAGCTCTCATTTGTGTTTTTTGTACCATTACGACTCCTCGCTTAGTTTTTTGTCTTTTTCATCCGTCACAGTGTTTCGTTTTTATCAGTATCAACTTGATTCTTGCAGCTTTCGCAGTGTCTCGCTCAAAGAAAATGTCTTAAACACTCTTACGAATGCCGCTCTCTTCCTCACACACTCAATATGTCCTCTCATTTCCTTGCGTCTCTCCAGACACTCATTCATTTTACATGCTGTAGAGGCAATTGAACAAAAACACACACTCGTACTCATACACACTTTGGTGTTCACAGGTCAGTAACAAACAGCTTCTCGGTGGAAAAGCGAGTGAGTGAAATAGGGAATTTAATATGTAAACACCAGTGTCAGACCTTCCAGAACTCCTAGTCTGCTTTTTGTTCATTTGAGAATTGTTTCAGTTGAAATTCTCTCTCCTCTCAGCCGAAAAACACACATAGTTATTTGTTATCTGTTGTCAGTGATGCGTGAAGTGCTGAATAATATTTGTATCTTGTCATTTTTTTTTTTTCTTATTCTGTCTCCCAAAGGTTTGTTGGTCAAAAACATCTTTAGGGATTTGCCTCTACACCATGAGCCTATGATCTCTTTTCAGTCACAAACATGCTAACGCGTATCTTTGCATAATTTTGTCCACTAACATGCATAGTTATTTGTTATCTGTTGTCAGTGATGCGTGAAGTGCTGAATAATATTTGTATCTTGTCATTATTTTTTTTTCTTATTTTATCTCCCAAAGGTTTGTAGGTCAAAAACATCTTTAGGGATTTGCCTCTACACCATGAGCCTATGACCTCTTTTCAGTCACAAACATGCTAACGCGTATCTTTGCATAATTTTGTCCACTAACATGTTTTTTTTTTTGTCTGTTTGGATGTAGACATGGACTCTTACAGTATGTAGAGTCCCATGCAGAAGCCAAAAATCCATCGACATACAGAACACATGAAATTATGCCTTCACCTCTCCCTCCTCTCAGATATGCTCATAAATTATCCCTGTTTGCAAACAAACACACACAGCAAAAATCCACGAATCAGAGAATCAAAACAAGCTCACCATATCATCCTGGAAAATCTAGTGCTAGATCTATTTTTATATGTACTGCACGGGAAATGATAAACAGCAAACAGTGGCGGCAGGTGTGTTTATGCCTATGCTAATTTAAAATTAGCAGCATTGCATCTGGCCTCCAGCGCAGCCAATCAAAGGAAGCCCAATATTTCTCTCTAGCTTTCTCATAAAATAGATTTTTAAATAATATTTCGATTAGGGTTTACTGCTGTTGTTTTTTATTGTTGTTTCTTCTTAATTTAGTTTCTAAGGCCCGAGATTATGTAAATAATGTATGTTGGGGAAAATTTTTGAATATAAAAGTTCCATTTTATTAGAGACCCTGTTAATGAAAATATAATTAGGATTTTTGAAAATGCAAAAGCTTTTGTAAATAGTCTTTTTTGGAAAAAGACATTTTGTAAGTAAAAATGTTTCCTGTCTCATGGTTTTCTCTTTTTATTTTACTTTTTTTTTTTTCAGTTAGTTTTTGATTAAGGAGACTTAGAGGTCCCTGTACAACGGGTTTTAAAAGGTCAGCCTAAAGCAGCAAAAGACATACAAGTCCCTTTACACACACACACACACACACACACACTGATACACACTTTATCCTCCCTATTTCACAAGGGGATGGTGGTATTTTTTTTTTCTTTTTCTTTTTTCTTTTTTTCATTTTTACAAATGCTGTGATGGAACCAGGTCAAATATTCCATGACAGGGTTCATGGAGGAGGAAAAGAGGAGAGAGAGAGAGTTATTACTCAAGAAATGCCTAAACTCACACACAACACAATTACTAACTGACCCACCAGTCATTCTTATAGCACACGATATACATACATATATATAAACACCATAAGATACAGGGCAAGCACCAGCAAAACTAAACCAGCAACTGCTTGTGCAACTAAACTGAATATTTATGTACGTTTTTCTGAGCTGTTTATGGCAGTTCAGTTCTTTAGGATTGACATTAGAAGAGCACTTTTTGAAATTCATGGCTTTGTTTTTACCCATAGAAATGCACATAGGTGCACTGACCGCACCAGTCAGCTTATTAAAGTGGATCAGTCGCGGTATCACACTGTAACAAAATCATTTTCTTATACATTCATTTAGTCTTGTTTTCCAGTACAAATATCCTGACAACAAAAAGGTTGCTTTGAAAGCAAAATGACAGTACATGTATGTAGTCTTTGTTTCAGAGAAATCTAACAGGTTTTGGTGAGGTTTATGCTCACCAAAACAACTGAATTCAGTCCTAAATATTTAGATATTTTACTGGAAAAAGAAAAAAAAAATACTGTTTTATTTTATTTTTTTTGCATAGTTTTATGGATCAGCGCTGCTGTAGTGGGATCTTATTCAGTGACTGACTGTCTTTTGCTTCAGGCTTTTTGCAGCTTAGCTTACACATTAGGTTTGCGGCACTCTTAACAGCTGTAAGGCATACACTTCCTTTGACGTTTGTCTGTACCCTAACAATAAGATGAAAAAAATAGTCATCTTGTTTATCAGATTGGACTTGAGGCTTTGATTCCTCTCTAATGCTGCGGTCAGACACCTGTGATGTTGTGTGGATCTTACTGATATCTGTTAATAACATTTCTCCCAGTGTGGTTGACTTATTTGAGGAGAACTTACTTAAAACCAAGCATTCACGCAAACAGACGCGTGCGCACACACACTCCCCCTCAGGTAAAAAGACAGATTGGTGGTGACTTTTGACCCTGTAAGGATTATCACAATATTATGAAAAAGACAAATCTATTGAGAAAACCTTCTCCATGGCCTAGATTCATCTCATCACACACAATTCATCCACTCTTTCACAAAATGTATTTGTTCATAGAGCGGGCCAGTGCAGTGATGAGGCCTTAGGCCAACCGCGACTCCCACAAAAAATGTTCACAAAAAAGCTTGTGCTGAATATCGTTTCCTCCTGCTGTTGCGGATTTTTTTTAATTATTATTATTCAGTGAACTACATTATTATTGTTATAATGTTCTTTTACTAAGATTTTGTTGCAGATTTCAGTATTATTGATTTAAGTTTTGATGTATGTGTTGGCAGTGCTGATGCCCCTGTGGCGACAGCGGTTTTTTGTTTTGGTAGAATTCACACAGTGTCCTCAGAGTTCCCCGATATATGACACTAAAGCCAAGTCTCAGCCCTCAGAAAGCGTTTTAAAAGGATAAATAAATTTTTTTCCTATGGAAGCTGCTCGTCTCGTGTTTTTGACTGCTTGTCTGCTTGAAAGACACAATGAGAGAATGAATGAATTTCAAGTGTTCATGTGTGTTTGCAGCAGTCGCTTTCTGTCCAATATACTCATGCTATATGTCAGATTTTCCATCTTGAAAACACAAACTGTGCTGCTGTTTCAAACACAACAAGCTGTCTCAGCGAGTGACGTCCTCTGTGTCACAAATATTTCATAATGCCTCTGGGTATCTGTCCCCGGCCACTCAAGACTCGCACACAAACAGTCTTGTTTGACTTTAGCGCATTAAACTTTCAGTGAGTCTATAGTCAGTCAGTGGTTGCAGTGCAGAAAGCATTCTGTCTCATGTCTATCGGCATTTGTGGAAAATGTCTGTCTTCTGCCGTCTGCTATTTTGATCTAGGTTAGCATTATGCTATATATATATATATATATATATATATATATAAACATTTGAACCATATTTCTGATTTATCATGCTAGTGTTAACAACTGATAGTGTTAACAAAAGCAAAAACACATTTTCTGAAGCAACGTGCCATTTTACCTTGCTTCGACAAGTCCTTGAGCTCTCTTACTGTTCCTCGTAATCAAACGCTCTGCAACACAAGTGCAATGCTGTATCAGGTGAGCTACAGAGCAAGTTCACTACATCAGAAAAGCCATACATATGGGGAGAATATGTGATGCAGACCATCAAAATTGTAGAAGGAACCATCTGCATAAAAATAAATCGTTATAAATCGATAATCTACCCCGTAATAATAATTTGCGTGAAAAGGAATTACAGTTGTTGGTGTTTTTATTGCCTCTAGCATTAATGGCAGCTGGAAACTGCAGTGAATTATGTATAAACAAGTTTTTAAACTTTTGCAAAAATGTAGGTAGAGACACGTATTTCCAATGAGCCTTTTGAACTACAATACAAAATGTGCCATACAGTTATTTTGACTATTGGGGTGATGATCATAATGACAAACTAGTTCAGCAACGGAGCTATAATTGTATTTAGGAATGCATATAATTTACTATACAGGTGCATCTCAATAAATTAGAATGTCGTGGAAAAGTTCATTTATTTCAGTAATTCAACTCAAATTGTGAAACTCGTGTATTAAATAAATTCAATGCACACAGACTGAAGTAGTTTAAGTCTTTGGTTCTAAATCTCAAACAAATTAGAATACTTCATAAGACCAATAAAATTTATTGGTCTTATGGAGTATTCTAATTTGTTGAGATAGTGAGTTGGTGGGTTTTTGTTAAATGTGAGCCAAAATCATCACAATTAAAAGAACCAAAGACTTAAACTACTTCAGTCTGTGTGCATTGAATTTATTTAATACACGAGTTTCACAATTTGAGTTGAATTACTGAAATAAATTAACTTTTCCACGACATTCTAATTTATTGAGATGCACCTGTATATTCACTAATATATCATTAAAGTTTTGAGTGTGCGAGACAGAGAAACAAGGAGACAGAGAGTATTAGGCATGTCATGTGACAGGTTATCAATCTGCACAAGAGTGATATTAGATTTACTGCCCACTCACCCCTAGTGCATTCTGGGTAAATGCCGTGGGCCCTGCAAGCTTCTATCTGCTACTATTACAGCCCCCAGACAGAGGGAGAGAGAGATTCTACAGAGAGAACCGGAGGAGGGAGTTCAGCGGGTGAAGTTAGACATCAGTGCAAAGACTTGAAAACAGAGAAAGAAAGAGAAGGGACGATATACATAATTCTGTGAAAGATTGATTTTATTTGATCATCTGTTTGATGATGCAGCACTAGATGGAAGAGAACAATCGAGCCTGAGATATCTCATCTCGTCAGTAATGCAATCAGACTTGAACACTGA